GCGCGTAAAGTCCACTGTATATGCCACCAGAAGTCAGTATCTCCTAATAGTATAATGGTTATACGTAAATACACACCGCTGTTAGCGGGTAACACTTCCGCTTTGTTATTTAATTAACGTTATTTTATTTAATTCGTTAATATAAAAATATAATGCTGCTATTCTCTTCACGTATAGCATTAATTCTAGGCTGGTTTGCATATCCCCTGACAGTCTATATGAAAGTTATCCGATATTGTTCTATAATTCTTATCCGTTCTTACTTGCTTTTTCCTTCCAACTACTTCTTTTATTCCCTTATTTAGACGTCTAAAGGCTGTTAGCTGTATAGCCATCTAGTTTACATCGAGTATAAAATTCAGACTATCGACAGGCAGGAGCGTCTGGTGCCGCCAGTGTGAATCTGCATGCCAAACGTGACGATTAAGACAAATATTTCCTACGTGCTTCTAAAGTATTTTAAGAAGAATAAAATAATAACTCATGTTATAGAAGAAGCATTCTCTAGTAACGAATCAACTCTACTAAAATTCTAATTTTGTATTTATAAGAAATAGGCCAAGTAGTCATAGTTTTAGCAACTACAAAACACGGGGGACGGAACACGCTCTCACAGAATACCAACGTAAAATAGTAAATTCCTAAATTGCGTGCACAAATTTCGTCACCACTAATCCCAGCACCACTACTCCCGACATAAGGAAAGATACACCATCGACGATAATACGACATGTGTTTCACCTCTACACGAGACGTCCTCAGGTGATGTAGACTCTGCGGTCTGCGGTGGGTGACCGCTAAGCTTAGTGCACCCTCGAGACGATAGTAGGTAGGTAGGGGGTAGTGAATATTTTAACACTGCAACTACACAGTTAGTCATCATTTTATGTTTTTCCTAAGAGTATTCCACAGTAAACAATAGATTTTTTCAAATATTAGCTTGTAGAACGTCCAACGAAGAAACACGTAATATACACCTTAGTCATCCATCATCTAAATATAAAAAAATCTCAAAATTTGTAACATATATTTAACGGACTATAAATAGTTACAGACGCAAATTTCCGTCTGTAACTTTTTATTCTTTGATTTGCACTCTGTAGGCTTCGCTTTATTTACATTGCTTTTCACCCTATCACACGCTCCCGTGATCAAACTACGAGAGCTATCTTTGTTAAATCTTGTACGATGTCAACATGAACACAAGGCTTCAAAATGTGTCGAGTTAGAATTTTCTACATCGTCGGAATGAATATTCGTTTTTAAGGGAGTAAGTTTTGCTACGTTTTACGGAAACGGAAAAATTTATAGCGTGGCTCTATTGTTTCCACGGTGCCTTCGGTTTAGCATCGTAGATTAGAAGATTCTTGACCGCTTCTTTTGCTCTTCTGCAGTAGTGTTTAAACGATTCGAAGATTTCTACACGATGTGATATAAAAATATCCGAAAATGGCAGACAATTACTTTAATGACGTTATCAAAAAAAGAATATTCTTAAAAATGAATATAAAAATGTTGGTTGTTCAAAAAATGTGTTAGGTACAGTTTATTTAAAATACAATAAACTTTTAAAATTTTACAACACCGTAGTCGAATAATAAATGATGTAAATATATTATATTAAATATACTAAAATAAATAATACATAAATGAATAAAAGCCCTACGAAATGAGAGACCTCGGCAGGGGAGACCAAACGGTCGAGTGTAAAGGGGAAAGGAAAAGAAAACGGCGGACGATGCGGGTGGTATCGAGAAGCATTCTGCATTTATAATCGGAGCGCTCCTTTACGGAGTCTCAGTCACCCCAGATGACCTGAAAGGATGACCGGGATTAGCCCGTTCAGACCACTACAGGAATAATTTTGTTCGGCAGAATGCCCTGGTATCCCTTAAGAAGTTACTGAAAGGTAACCAGTGAAGGAAGGCGATCGTGTCTACGAAAGGCTCATTTAGAACTTCCCATGGAGCTTTTTTCTTTCCATACGGTCTCACGGTCTAAAATGCTCTGTACAGCCGGGTCTTGCCTTTGCTCGTTGGCTAATTATAGAGGGGTCCTTTATCACAAGAAATGACGTCCTTATAGAATGGAACATCCGATCTCGCCGGGAAGTAATTACGGAGGTTGCAAACTTCGCGATTAGATGCGATGAATGGTGAGCGCCAATAAAGCCAAGCTCTCTATGCTTCCGCGGCGACTACAGCCTCATTACAGACGATCTCGGATGGTGCATTGTATGGGACGTCATAACAGTGCGGACTTTTCTATCGAGAGCGTTCAGTTCAGTCTGAGTCCACCTGAGTGTGCCAAAGGTATACATGAGGAGGAGGAGGCATGATCCAACCGTTGTACGCCTATGTCTTATTCACGCCCGACAAAAGGCTGTTAAGCACTTTGGTCAAGTGTACACAAAACAGATCGCAAACTGATTGTTTCATGTCCGCCTTATCAATACTCATATTTTGTGACCTAGCTAGGTATCGGTATGTTTCAGGTTCGGAAAGGGTCCATATGATCTTGATGGGCACAGATAGGACTATGTATGTAGTGGCTTCTTCAAAATACATTTTACTCATTTAATGAGATTTTTCCGGACGGATACGACTTAGGGACCTTTAAGAAAGAGTGTACTCCTTTTTAAAAGACCAGCAACGCGTCAGCAATTCCCCTGGTGTTGCAGTTGACCGTGGGCGGCTGTAGTCACTAACCATCAGATGAGCCATATGCTCGTTTGCGTCTCATAATAAAAAAGGTATCTCCCTTAGTTCTCCAAGGTGACTACGCATCTGTAGCCTTCCTTCTTTAAATTTGACTCCAGATGTTCATGGATTGTAGTTGTCGCTTACCACCAGGTGAGATGTAAGTTTGTTATTCATTTGAATTAAAAAAAATATCTTCTAATTTTCGTATTAGCGCAATAAAATCCCTTTCAGAACATGGGTTCCTTTCGATGTATGTATTTGATTCTTTTATAATTTATTGCCGTCTTAGCCTCTTTGCCAATGCAATGGAAGCGAAGGTAGTCTAGTGGTTAATGGTGCGGACCAAAGAGTATATATTCACTGAGTTTTAATACGGACTACAGACAACGAGCCTACAAATTCTTTGCACACGTTAGAGAAGTTTAAGATTATTGTTAATAACATTTAAGGCGCATTGGCACAGTGGATAAGCCGTTGCTTGCGGCACGAATCCCGTACGGAGAAAATATGGATAATCAATATTTGTTCCTGGTTTGTCCAATACCATTTATGTATGTCAAAAGTCTCCTATTTACTATACGGGAGTAAATCATACTGTGCATGTGTAATGCTGCTGGTTACCGGTCAGTAGGAAGTTTGCTCGGCACAGTGATGTAGATATTTTGGAAGAGGCTTACAATGCGACTGTACTTATTGTTTTTGGTTTTATTTTAATATGATGATAATGATTAATTTTAATCTGTTAAACAGGGGTGGTAAAATATATTTTTAGAAAAATTCCACACAAAATATGGGATATAGTTTTCAATGTAACTGTTTAACCAATAATGAGACTGTAATATTTCTTGGTCCACTTCAAATGCTAAAAACTTTTAGCAAGATTTTAGGGCTTTAACTCTTCGATACACTATAGCTCCGGGTTCAGAATGTGGAATTATTTTTTTCCATTTATTTATTTGAAGACGGCTTTTACTTATTGTCAAAGTATTTTTTTCTTTTAAAGTTTCTTTTAAACTTTTCTTATATATTCTTTATGTTGTTTTCATATTTTGAACGAGTGATGAATAAAATTTTGTGGCATGACTGTTTCATCATTATCCTCTTTCTAAGTCTACTGCCGAACACGATCTTGATACACCTTGTTCTTTTTATTCTGTTACCGTTACGGTCTATGAAAAGCCTAGGTACAGCTGGACATAGGCCTCCCCCACGCAGCGGGTTGGTAAACGCAGTTTTTTTGTGTGGTAAATGTTGTGAGGAAGTGTCTAGCGCCATTCAGTGCTCTGCCTGTCGCAAGTTCCTCGATTATCCATGTTCTGGGATAACTGAAATTGGCTATCGCAAGCTAGGAGATAGACAGTCATCGTGGCGCTGTGTTTACTTTTTTTTTATAGGAATGGGTGACAAACGAGCACACAGTCCACCTGATGGTAAGTGGTTGCTGTGGCCCATAGACATCTACATCTAGCCTCGATTACGAATCAAAATGCAGATGCGTTGTCACCCGTGAGGACTAAGATGGAATGCCTCGTTTCCAGTAAAAAGGGTCTCCGGTTCTCTACACTCACCATACGAAATACAGCAGCATTAAGCTACTATTTCACGCTGGTATTCTGTGAGAGCGTGGTCCTTCCCCGGTCGAGCCGACCCATTCGTGCTACAACTATACTACTAATATAACTGCAGCATGGCTCTACCACGTTAAAACTTACTGTAAGACGTCTCAACAATCAACCCAGCCTGGATCACCACCTCCTGAAACTACACGTCAACCTACTCTTGATAATGTTATGATTGAACTGCAGAAGCTTTCGTGCCAATTACTGCCCCTTCAAGAAGTCATCAATGATATTCGAATAATCAAAAACGATATTTCAGATCTACGTAAATCTAACAACAATATGCTAGAAAAGCTTGATAGCTTTGAAAAAAGACTTCAAGTAGTTGAAAATGCTGAGCAAAAAATATCGTCTCTAAAGGAACAGATAAATAAGATGGAAGCAGAAATTAATGAAAAAGATCAGTGGCTTCGATCAAATAACGTCGAAATCAAGGGAGTACCATTTAAACCTGGGGAGAATCTTTTTGATATTATAACTAAATTAGGATCTATAATAACCTATCCTGTTTTGAAGAGTAACATTAATTATGTAACACGTGTCCAGACGCGAGATGCTGGGTCGAACAAGACCAAGCCTATTACTCTTTCTTTTATCAACAAATATATGAAAGAAGACTTCATCGCGGCTTCTCGCCTGAGTAAACATATTTCTACGGAAGATATTGGTCTAAAAGGAAACACCCGTATTTACATAAATGATCACCTTAGTTATTCCAAAAAGATGCTGTTGAATAAAACTAAAACTGCTGCAAAAGAAAAAAACTACAAATACGTATGGGTCAAGCACGGGAAGATATTTGTGAGGAAAATCGATACATCGCAAGTCTACAATATAAAATCGGAATCGGACCTAGTCAAGCTGCGTTAACTTACAAATACTCCTTTGTTTATTTATTACTTTTAAGTTTCTGGTGTCATTTAAACATTTACATATATTCTTCAACAACAGTCAAACATAGTTTGAGAACCGGTGTTTCTTTCCGCCTTATCACAATCTTTTGTCTGCAGTTACGCCTAATACCCACCTGTTTAAATTGTTGTGTGCATGCAATTTGTGTTCCTATTATCTTTATACCAGGGATCACTTCTCACACTGCAACTGTAAGTAAACACGATCGGTTCCATATTAATTTATTTTCTAAGAACCACTTACGCTATTACTATTTATTGCTTTTGGTTATATTTTCTTATATATCGGGTCGCCTTTTCCTTCTCAGCGCAGTAAACAATACTTATATCGATGTCACTTGTTTACTACCGTTTTATTATATAGTAGTATATTATATATTTTGTGAATTTGATAAAGTAAAAGTATCTAGTGACTATAATTATATTACATTGTTAATTACTCGTATTACTAATCTTAGCTATTAAATTTATTCATTTGTATTTTCACAAGTAATATTCTACACTAAAGCCGTGAATTTCGACAACCGCTTTAATTTCTGTGTATTGCCGCTTATAGTATCAAACTTGGTTTATAAAGCAAATGTACTTATTGCATATTATTTTCATATAAGATGGTATAGGAAAAAAATAGTTTTTTATTACTGTGCACTTGTGGTGCTCTCAATAAGTGTACATGACACAATTTTAACGCTTGAAATCTTATTTATAACTTTTTATTTAGTTGTTACCCTATATTTATTTTTTACACGAATAACCAACAAATACTTTATCTGGCACTGTAAGTTGAATTTCTTATGTATAAATTTTATTATTTTATTCATATTGAATGTTTCAAATAATCGTGATGGCTTCCTTACACGCAATGAACTAATTGTTGTACAATAAACACAGAAATTAGTGTACGTCTAGTTATGAGACGTATTATTAGGATCTCACTTCACATTTTTTTATATCCTCTCTTTCAAATCAAGTTATAACATTTGGCGCAATTTTTACTCTGAAGAATTAAGAGATTTTCGAAAATTTATTAGATTATAAAGTTATAGATTAAAATAGCATGCAAAAAGACAATGTAAAAAAATTTATAAAACATTTTTGATACATTAGATTGTAAATTTAATTTCAAATAAAATGTATAACCTTTATTGAATTAACTAGTTCAGGCTTTTCTTTGTAAATGATCTAACACTTATTAAATTAAAAATTCAACGTTTTTTTAATTGGAAATATTACCTTTAATCTTTCTTCTTCTTCATCGCTCCCAAAACAAATCTGTGGTAGCCATGGCAGCACCGTAAAATACCATCTAAAGCGATGAGATGCTTTGAGAGGCAATAGTAAAAATATGACGATAATTGAATAGGTTGTGAAATTATATGAAAAATAGGTCATTCACTAAAAAAATAATATAATAAAATCTTTGCTAAACCAGGTTACTAACGGATTTTCAGTCCAGCTGATGATAAGCGACTACTACGGACAGCCAACTTCAAACAAAAAGGGCTTCAGGCGGCTCGACTGCGTGGTATGGTGATACAAAGGTTATAGGGAGCTATGGTTATCAGTATGTGTAACAGGCTGTGAGGCATTCCAGTTTGATCCTGGGAGATGACAAGGACACTTTTGCCTTCTTAGTTTGAAGTGGTTTGCAGGTTCATACACCTGTGTTGCAGAGGATACTTACTGACTGAGGATTTAAGTTTGTTTTTCACTTCTGTTATACTGTTCAGGTATTGGCACTGGATTGATATATTAATAAAAAAATTGGTAACTAATGGAGAAATAGTGGTCCAAAAATGTCTTAACTACTTATCGTAATTGAGATTTTATTAAGATACTTAAGTAATAAAGTTAATTATTAAATCTGTCTATAAAGTTTTTTTTGTTTTCACGTAGTAAAGCCAGGCTGCAGATATATTATGGTTATAGCACGTATAAGTTGGCTCGATCGGGAAAGGACCACGTTTCCACAGAATATCAGCGTAAAAAAAGAGCTTTTATGCCGCTGTGTTTCATATGGTGAGTGTCTATGATAGATATCATATCTATTAGGGCGGCCTGTGTGCAGTAGTGAACTTTGATATTTTTTTTTGTATAAAAAATACTAAATTTTAACCACTACTGATACTACTACTACTGGCTTGTGTTAGGAGTGTTTAACGACGGTAGTCGAATGGCGGATTCGATCCCACAACATTTTGAGTTCGCGGTCTACATCCTGCCATAAGGCTACTGTAGTTTAAGTCAATAGGCAGTAACGATGATGAATATTAAGTAAGAACAATCGGTTAAACATTTTACAATGTTTATATTATGAATGCAGTCGACCTACGAAGCTATAGATATCATCGAAAATATATAATTCAGAAAGCTCGTTAAAAGAGGAGATTGTTCAAGGGATTAATGTAAATCAGAAAATTTATTGGAGTTCAGAGATAGAGATAAAAATAATTTGAAAAATACAATGCAATAAAATACTATTAAATTTCTAATTAAACCGACTTATAATCAGATTTATTTGTACCTACAACGTTTTATTATTGAACTTACTAGTGCAAGCTTTATATTGTATCCTAAACTCTGTCAGCAATTCTTGTAGGTTTATACAATTGGTATTTCGGTAACGGTTCAAATAATTTGGATGACGTGTATATGTAGATAATGTTTTACTATTCAAGTTTGCCAAAATGTTTTTTTATAATAATAAATAATTTTTGTGTAATTATTTTTTTAATCGCCGAAAGAACCTCAGGCACCCATTTCCTAATCATCTTATAAGTAAAAATGAAAAAAATCTAATTATTATTATTTTTCAATCACAATAAATAATAAATAGTATTTCTACGTCTTCATGGGCTCGAAAAAGTTCATTGGGTAATCATAATTTATCCCATAGAAAGATCATATCACCAAGTAAGACAAGCTTTAGACTTAAGATGTGTTATATTGATAGGGTGTTGTATAAATGTGATGGTAATTGAATGGGTTATGAAAAGCCACGTAACGTAAAAGTGGTAAACATTTTAAAACTGCAGTATAAAGATAAATAATACAGAAAAAGAATTATAAAGTATGAACGTTACACATCTGTCGATTTTCAGAAGTTGTTAACCCTTGAAATTCGCATACAGTGACGACAAGTTTTCCTATTTAATTTACCTGTGTATTATAATTTGCTTACGCACTTCGGTCAATGATCGAAGCTTACGCACGTATCATAATTCAATCTAGTGGCTACGTTAGAATTTCCACTGCCCTACATCGTCCCGTGGATGTCGTAAGATTCAACAGAAGGAAATTAAAACAGGAGATGGAGGGGACTAAACTAAAAAAAGCGGCCAACCCGCCTGAAAAGCGTGGCAACCATGGTTAATATGAGAGATATTACCACCGTTATGGGATATTAATATGAGGTAATCTATGGGAGAAGCGCACGTTCAGCAGTAAACTTGTGTAGGCTGTAATGAATGGATGGATGTCATTACAATTAGGTAGTAGCATAATATGTATTAAAATTAACTACAGGCCAGACCACGTATTTTTACATTGGTTTTGAGTAAAATTGGCAATAAGCATCATGTAATAATTGGATACACTCATATTCGGACGGTCACGCGAAACGACCATGTCGCTTTAAGCTTTTATGACTCCAATATTTCAAATTGCATTCGATCAAATCTCGTGCGGACTCCGCGTGCATTGTACACGCTAGGTACTAGCCACATGCCGCACGGTACAGGAACGAAAAATATATTTATGCACTATTTTAAGTTGAGTGAGTGATGGCAGTGTACTGGAATACATTGCCCCAATTACGAAAGCTTTAATGGAAAAAAAATCGGGTTGCAGTGATGTCAAAGTGACATTTCAATTTGTTTTAAATACGTGGTACAGCCATGCTGCAGTTATATTAGTAGTATAGTTGTAGCACAAATGGGTCGGTTCTACCGGGGAAGTACTACGCTCTCACAGAACACCAGCGTTAAATAGTAGCATAATGCTGCTGTGTTACCTATGGTGAGTGTAGAAAACCGGAGACCCTTTTTACTGGAAACGAGGCATTTCATCTAAGCCCTCACGGGTGATAACGCATCTGCATTTTAATTCGTAATCGAGGATAAATGTTGGTGTCTATGGGTCACAGCAACCAATTACCATGAGGTGGATTGTGTGTTCGTTTGTCACCATTATACTATAAAAAGGGTAATCTATAGGAGAGGCCTACGTTCAGTAGTAAACTTTTATAGGCTGTAAGAATGAATTAATGTATTACAATAAAGTAGAAGCATAATATGTATTAAAATTAAGTATAAGCTAGACAACTTTTTTTAAATTGGTTTGGAGTAAAATTGGCAATAAACATCATGTAACAATTGCACTCATAGTCGGACGGTCGTGCCAAACGAGCATGTCGCTTTAAGCTTTTATCACTTAATATTTCCAATAGCATTCGATCCAATCTCCTGTTTCACCGCTTTATTATACACGTTACTAGACAGGTGCTGCACGGTACACGAATGGAAAATATATTTGACCATTTTTTTAAGTTAAGTGTGTGATGGCGGTGTACTAGAATTCATTGCCCCATTTTGACACGACAAAAGAAATCAGACGTGGTACAGCCATTCTGCAGCTATATTATGGTCGTAGCGCGAATTGGTCGCATCGACAGGGTGGGGGGCTCGCTATCACACAATACAAGAGTAAAATAGTTGCTGAGTTTCAGATGGTGAGTATTAACAACCGGAGTTCCTTTTTAATGGAAATTAAGTATTCCATCTTCATTCTCAAGGGTGATAACACTTCTGAATTTTGATTCCTAATCGAGGATAGAGAAAGATGTCTATAGACCGCAGTATCCACTTACCAGTAGGTGGACCGTGTGATTCTTTAAAAAAAAACTTATGGCAGGTGGCAGCATCTAATCTGGCATTGCGATTGTCCTCTATCTGCCAAGCG